CAGGACCATGCAGCAACACTTGCAGGATTTTCACAAGATAATGGCATCAGACAACACGACTGATATTGAAAGTGTTGCTTTATTTTGTTTTCATGTATTTAAAATTAAAGAGAAAATGTAATTCAAATCTTTTATACTTTATTTTAAAACCTATGACAGAAATGTAATGATTTATTATTATTTGCGTGATTTGTTATTCTACTTTTCAGTCCAAGCACCATAAATATATGTAAGCAGATATCCTTGGACAACTTAAGAAAACACTTGGCCAGTAAAATATTTTTCAAGGGGTTACCAATAAATACCGGAGAAAAGGAAGGTTAGTGGTATTTAGTTTTTTGTTCTCAGCCATCAAAGTTGTATGGCGCACTGTACATTGTTATATGTTTACTATATATTTTCTCTGACGAATTAAATCGATGAAGCTGAAATCCAGTGATGTGTATGTAGTTCGCATTGAATCAGTGAAAATGAATTGTATACAGTATTCCAAATTGCAGTTTTCAGCAAAAATAAATTACAATGAATATAAAGAGTATGCTAAAAAGTACATGGAGAAAATGTTTAAAGTTTTAAGTATGTACTACAAGTTTCTTCAAAACTTCTTTCGTTCTTATTTCAGCATTTATAGAATCCAAATACTATGCCTACTGTGAGGTGAAATCAAGCAATGATTACAGAGGAAGACTATGGAATTTTACCAAATTTTTAGACTCCAATCGAATGGTGAGTTGTCTAAATGATCCCTAATGATTATTTACTTTTTCTAACGTGTTCATTCACACATATGGTGTGTAGACACACTGCTTGAATATTGCGAGTTCGGGGAGAGTAACTTTCGAGAAATCTTGGGTATAAATTTAACGCATTGCCATAAAACCAAACTGCTAATAACATGTGGATTGATTTGTGTGACACCTAATGTGTTGAAGTATTAGCTAAGGTCACCAAAGATTTTTATGACTTCCACACCATTGAACGTGCCTACTGTAGTGTTTTAATCATTTACAATGTTCCTTTGAAATCTCATACCTGAATAGATGCCCCCATCCCTTGTATGATTATTTTATATTTATAGAAAAACAGTTCACAAGCTTGTGCTTCGACAATGGCAAGAAAGAAAACTGTCTATCGATTGATTCGTCCTTCCCCAAATACATATTTCCAGATGCCAAACACTAATAAAAAGAACAGAACGAAACATGAATAACCTTATTCTTCTTTTTTTTTGTCATCAAGGCTGGAGTGGTAAATTTTGGCGATGTGACTGAAATGATTTTACTGCCAACATGCCAGTTTACTGTTGATTTGGGGATTACTTCGCATGGTTATCCGATGGTGTTACATGGATTATTTGTGTCAACAAAACCTACAATTAAACATATTAAATGTAAGTCTTGGCTTACGAGCTAACTATGTATCTATTAAACGTGCATCTGTAGTAGAAGTGTTATATACTGACAAATTGTAATTACCATGTGCTTGATCGTTTAAATATGAATGACTTTGACCACAGTCACACCTCTTTGTTTATGCAAGCATATGCGCTAATACAGAGCAAACAAGTGTGCCCTCTAACAGGACTGATTTTGTAGGAATCTTGAGTCAAAATGGAATCAGCTTGTTGACTGCTGAGGAGGTTGGTCTTCAAGAATAAAATAAAATTATGTATAGCTGACTTGAGGTGCAAACAAAAATGTTATAGCTCCTGATTTCTTTTGTGATTACATTACGTTTTGACCTTTGTGCGTGTGTGTGCATCCGGACCTGTATCTTAAAAATGCCTGGACCAATCACAATCAAACTTCACACATACATCATACATGATATTATATGCACATCAATTTGTTTCACGATCTGATTCAAGATGGCCGAATAGTGGCCATTTTTATGCTAAAAAACATTCAAAATCAAGCATTTATGGATGGATTTTTTTTGTTTATAAAATGTTAATTTCAATTTACTAAATAGTTCAGGATCAGTATGCCAATGTATGATTCGTTGTTGACACACAAGTGAATTAGCATAACTAGTTGCATCACAGCAAATCATTGTGCATAAATGGTGCATCATATTGGCTTAGAGGGTGCACTGGAGGAAATAAATTACACACAATTAGTGCTAGTACAGCAACTACAGTATTCAAGAAGAGAGTAAAATGCATATTTACTCTGAAAACAGATTCCCTTAAATCACCATTTCGGTCCATTTTTTCCCTAATTATTTTACTGGCGTTTTTTTTTTTTCCTGTAAAGTCATTTCTTTTCTCTTTTTGGTGAAAGTTGAAAATAACGTTCGCTGATGGGTCCAGTGATCACAATAAACATTATTTCTTAATTGCGTATTTGGTGTATGGAACCTGTGTATGTCCGATTTAGCTTCCCTGAACTGTTATACTTTGTTCTAATTTCTATTACAGTTTGTGGAGCCCACTGCTCCAGTTCAAGCCGTGATGACAGTATCTACATGCCAAGTGAAAGCATCCACAATGAAGCACACCCACCAAGGCTGTTTGAACTCAGAAAAGCGATCAGTATAGCCATGGAACTGCAAAAACAAAACTTTAATAGAATGTCTTCTAAATCTCTGACTGGAACATTCGTGCCTACCCATCATGCACAGTATCTTCAGACTCCGTATCAGCTGGAGAATCCGGGTACTAAATCTTGGGCTACTCCTCCCAAATCGAAGTATAGTGCTACAGAATCTGCGCAAGCACCCCGGCCCAAGAACACAACTTCATCCAGTGAATCCATGCTGCAAAGTCCTCAGACAAATTACCCGACTGTCATCAGTCCCCATGTGACTCATGGATATTCTACAGGTTCACAATCTACTGCAGTGAAAATTACATCCCCTACACTGCAAGTCAACAATTCAAATAATAACAATGAAACCAATAATGCCAGTAGCCCTACTGCCAGTAGGAGTAAAGCTGTGAAAGCAGAGGAAAGATCACCACAATTACAGGTTTCTCCCCTCTATGTTGGTTCACTCTTACCCGATCTGGACCAACTTGGTAGCGATGACTTAAATAGTTTACTTCAGAAACTCAAACCTATATTAGGTCAAACTCTTCAGAATGATGCTCCACCCCCACCAGAACCACCATTACCGCCAAATGAAGGCAAGGCGGCTAAGGTTTTAGACAAAGAGGTCAAAGTAGTTGTTGAGAAACAGTCTACAGTCACTAAGAGCAATGAACTGCCATTGAAACCTGTTGAAAGTACTGGGTCACTAGATTTAAAAGACTTGCCCGATTCACCTGAGAGTCCTGATAGTGAGCTTGTGGATCATGTCAAAGAACCTAAGCAGGTTTTGAAAGGAATGGAAGAGGTGAAAAGTAAGAGTAGAGTAACTGAAACTAACATCGCTAAAATGGATGAGAACAAACCAATTGGAAGTAAACTAAAATCGGATGATAGCGTTATTATGTCAAATGCTGCACTTGAAGGAAAAGCAGTACTGCAAAGTCAAACTGAGAGTGGTGAACAAGCAGACATTTACAAAGATGATCCCATTATGGACGCTGACGAAATGAAAGCATTTTTAGAGAAGTCTTTGATTCCACCAAAGATTGAGAATATCCCATCAAAGGTTGAGATTGATAATGCCAGTGATATGAAAAACTACTTGAATGCACGATTCACTCGAAATCTTGAAAAGTCCTCCAAGAAGAGGAAGCGACAGGATTCGTCGCAAGCAATGAAAGTTGAAACAGAACCTGGTGAGAAAAGGAGGTCTGTGAGGGTAAAACTTGACGATGACAATGTGAGGAAATTTGAAAGTAGAGGTATGTTGTGTTGTATTTATTTATACAAAATTTGAAATTGGCGTGTCAACTCATGTTAAACTCTTTGAACGGCAGAGTAAACTTTTGTCGCCTTTGACAAAATAAACCTGCATATTTCCTCAAAAATGTTTTCCATTTATAGACAAATGATTAAAAAAAATATACAAAATTAAACCACAGTACATTATATAACATTAAATGCGTTGTCTCTCTGATTTTTTTACAGATGTTTTGACTTTTACAGCTGTTCCTGGTATCAACCTAGTGGGTAGGATTCCAAAAAAATGCAAGTTAGAAAAAGAGAGCAGCAGCAGCAGTGAACAAGTTGACAAAACATCCTCAACATGTTCATTACGTAAAGAAGATCCAACCACGTCAATTGGTAGATCTGAAATCAGTGGCTCCAGCAAACATATTACTAAAATTACTGACTCAAGTATAAAAACTGATAGCATTGATATTAGTGTAGATAGCTATAAAGCTGCCAAAGTGGAGATCTTGAAAGTTGAGAAAAAAACAGAATTGATGGACACCAGTGAAAGATTGACTGATAACAAAGTTGAAATTGATGAGAAAAGTGTTTTGGAGGTACTGGATATGGAGCTTGATAGTACAGGTGAAGACAGTGATGAAGATATTACGCTGTCCGATGCCAGTCTGATATTGGAAAGTGACCATGAGGAGGAAGAGGAGAGTGGGGGTGTGGCATTTACAGGGCATCATGTGGTGGTTGAAAATGATAAACAATTGAAAATCTGCAGACCTTGTGTAAGCAGTGTAGCACCAACTGCTTATGCTGCAGAGCTGGACACTGAAGCAAGATTACTGCAATGTGTTTCTGCTGCACTTCACAAGTAAGTTGTATCTACAGGCCATTGTTTAATTTAAAGCTAGTTTAGATTCATTTTGTTTCCATTTCTGACAATGAATTGCATAGATGAAAGCAGCCCAATGTATGTTCTCTATCTAGGACAGTGATTTTAGTCAACAGGGTGTTTCTAGTCGTAACATCATACTACACACTTGATATGGCTTGATACAAATGTGTGTTTTTCTCAGTAGTTAATATCATCTGCAACACAAAAAATTAAATTTAGTGAGATAATGCTCTTACGGTAACCACCAATAACAGTAATTATCCATGTCATCTTAGCTGCTCACCTGAGTCCTGACCAGATATGACATTTAGGTAGATATTTACATAAGCCACTGCAAGATCCATCAACTTCTAATAATGACTGGATTCCACTCCAAGGTAAATGCTCCAAGCCACAGTAAGATATATTTTTACTACCACATTTTATACCTAGGCAGATGGCCTTGATCTCGCCTAAGCTACAAAAATATTGATCCTTAGGTAGATGGTCACCTTAACTCACAACAATATATGGTCCTTGGGTAGATGGTCACCTTATCTCACAATATATGATCTCTAGGTAGATGCTCACCTTAACTCACAATATATGATCTCTAGGTAGATGCTCACCTTAACTCACAATATATGATCTCTAGGTAGATGGTCACCTTAACTCACAACAATATATGATCTCTAGGTAGATGCTCACCTTATCTCACAATATATGATTCCTAGGTAGATGCTCACCTTATCTCACAATATATAATTCCTAGGTAGATGCTCACCTTATCTCACAATATATGATTTCTAGGTAGATGCTCACCTTAACTCACAATATATGATTTCTAGGTAGATGGTCACCTTATCTCACAATATATGATTCCTAGGTAGATGCTCACCATAACTCACAATATATGATTTCTAGGTAGATGGTCACCTTATCTCACAATATATGATTTCTAGGTAGATGGTCACCTAATCTCACAATATATGATCTCTAGGTAGATGCTCACCTTAACTCACAATATATGATTTCTAGGTAGATGGTCACCTTATCTCACAATATATGATTTCTAGGTAGATGCTCACCTTAACTCACAATATATGATTTCTAGGTAGATGGTCACCTTAACTCACAACAATATATGATCTCTAGGTAGATGCTCACCTTATCTCACAATATATGATCTCTAGGTAGAGGCTCACCTTAACTCACAACAATATATGATCTCTAGGTAGATGCTCACCTTATCTCACAATATATGATCTCTAGGTAGATGGTCACCTTAACTCACAACAATATATGATCTCTAGGTAGATGCTCACCTCAACTCACAACATTATATGATCTCTAGGTAGATGCTCACCTTATCTCACAATATATGATTTCTAGGTAGATGGTCACCTTAACTCACAACAATATATGATCTCTAGGTAGATGGTCACCTTAATTCACAATATATGATTCCTAGGTAGATGCTCACCTTAACTCACAATATATGATCTCTAGGTAGATGCTCACCTTATCTCACAATATATGATCTCTAGGTAGATGCTCACCTTATCTCACAATATATGATCTCTAGGTAGATGCTCACCTTAACTCACAATATATGATTTCTAGGTAGATGCTCACCTTAACTCACAACAATATATGATCTCTAGGTAGATGCTCACCTTATCTCACAATATATGATCTCTAGGTAGATGCTCACCTTAACTCACAATATATGATCTCTAGGTAGATGGTCACCTTATCTCACAATATACGATTTCTAGGTAGATGGTCACCTTAACTCACAACAATATATGATCTCTAGGTAGATGCTCACCTTATCTCACAATATATATGATCTCTAGGTAGATGCTCACCTTAACTCACAATATATGATCTCTAGGTAGATGGTCACCTTATCTCACAATATATGATTTCTAGGTAGATGCTCACCATAACTCACAATATATGATTTCTAGGTAGATGCTCACCATAACTCACAATATATGATTCCTAGGTAGATGCTCACCTTATCTCACAATATATGATTCCTAGGTAGATGCTCACCTTATCTCACAATATATGATTTCTAGGTAGATGGTCACCTTAACTCACAATATATGATTTCTAGGTAGATGGTCACCTTAACTCACAATATATGATTTCTAGGTAGATGGTCACCTTAACTCACAATATATGATCTCTAGGTAGATGGTCACCTTAACTCACAATATATGATTTCTAGGTAGATGCTCACCTTAACTCACATTATATGATTCCTAGGTACCGGTAGATGCTCACCTTAACTCACAATATATGATTTCTAGGTACCGGTAGATGCTCACCTTAACTCACAATATATGATTTCTAGGTAGATGGTCACCTTAACTCACAATATATGATTTCTAGGTAGATGGTCACCTTAACTCACAATATATGGTTTCTAGGTAGATGGTCACCTTAACTCACAATATATGATCTCTAGGTAGATGGTCACCTTAACTCACAATATATGATTTCTAGGTAGATGGTCACCATAACTCACAATATATGATCTCTAGGTAGATGCTCACCATAACTCACAATATATGATTTCTAGGTAGATGGTCACCTTAATGAAGTCCGAAAACGGGGACTTATAATTTGGTCTCCGTCCGTCTGTGTGTCCGTCGGGAGTCATATTTCAGAATCCCTTGCACCGATTCCATTCATTCTTTGCATGTGCCTAGTACTTCATGTGGGACATATGCACATGCAGTGGTTTAGCGATTCGATTCAAAATGGCCGACTGGCAGCCATCTTGTTTTTTGAAAATGTTGTATTTTGGACATGCTTTGTCAGTTTTCATTCAAACTTGGTACATAGATTATCCATGTTAGGATACATGTCCATGACGATTTATTTCGCAATTGGATCAAAGATGGTCAACTGGCAGGCATCTTGTTTTGTTTTTTTATGCGGTATCTTGGATGTGCTCTGTTAGTTTTCATTCAAATTTGGCACATACATGTACTTTATACATGTTAGGATGCATGTCCATGACAATTTGTTCCAAAATCTGGTCAAGGATGGCCGATTGACAGCCATCTGACTTTTTGGCCTTTCTACTATATTTCCACAATTTATGTACCATTTTCATTCGTATTTGGCACATACATCATACATATCAGTGTGTTTCATAATCAGATCAAAGTTGGCCGAATAAAGGCTGTTTTTATTTTTGGCCATATTACTACTACATGGAACACGTGTTTTGATGTAAAT